TCTTATAAACTTAATAGATCTCGTGTAGATACGTTGGTTGAGAGACAAAAACACATGAATATGGGGACCCCTATCGAGTGTCATACTTGTATTAAATTACTTCACAGTAAGCTTTTGCATTCCCCACATACACAAACACTTGTATATACATTTATAAATGCATATATGTAATAAATACTATATTAACCATACTCTATATTTCATGTTCCTCGTAGGTTGTAACGTGCACTTTTCTCTTCGCTGTTGAAAGAGTCATATACAGCATATTAACCTCTTTTTGTGATAAGTTGTAACGTGCACTTTTCACTTCGCTGTTGAAAGAGTCATTCACAGTTTTGCTTTTTAATCTTTTCTATATATATATGTTTCTTAACGAGTAACCCGATTATCATCATCTTAATCAACCGTCTTGGAGATCTATAATATCCATTCAGACATCTATATCATTTTTATGTATCCAAATTAAAGGCATATGTATCTGCATTTTGAATACATTATATATTGCATACAAACAAGTACAGCACCTGGTTCTCAGATTCTTTTTTCTGATCTAGATTAAAACTATAATTTGAGCTTCGTTTATATATATGTGTACTATATTATAACTACAATTCACAATTTATCTTCATCTATTCGTGATGTACGAGCTACGAACGTTAAATGTAAGTGGTTAAATCGTTCAGAGTACACCAAAAAATTGTATACATTCGCGCATATATGTGCAGATGTTATAAAACAAACTTGAACGGCATTTTAACTAATTATTTTAATTAATTAGAAAGCAATATCTTCGTGGGCTCTGCTTACTACTGCATGTGGAGAAGCCTTATTGGTTGACAAAAAGGTTGAGAAATTTAAAAAAGAAAAAGCCAAAAGGTCGTCTAATGAGGAGGGAGAATAAATAAAGTTGCAACACTCACACAGAGATCAATCATACACTTGGCATTTGATCAGAGAAAGACAGGAACCAATCAGCGTCTCTACATCTCTCTCTTGGGTTTTCCATTCCGACAAAGCTGACGTCATCATTATCTAGGATCCGTTGATTGGTTCGGTCGTTCACGTGTCACAGTGAGCTTGAAATCAGGCCGTACGTTTGGTAGCCAAGCAACCCAACGAGAGTATTTCACGTGTATTTTGAAGCCATTCAAAATCTTTTTTCGCCTCACCCAGTATAAAGTATAAAGAATATTTTCAATATTAATCGAGTAGATGACAGATATGTTTTTTTACGCATCACCATAAAATATAGGACAGAAAAATTAAACATAAATCGTGATTTGGAGAAATTATTTGCATAGTAATTTAGAGAATATAGAATGACCAAATTAACTTTGTTTGCATTCGGCATATGACATATCACTGGTCAAAAACACATGTTTATATAGATATACTTCCGACTCATGTGATTTTGTCAAGCTTTTTGCAAAAAAAAAAACAGACATAAAGTACATAGTGATTATTAGTTATGTATTATTTGATTTATTTTTCGTAGTTAAAATGTCCGTGTTGATACTCTCGTTAAAATGACAAGAACACGAGAATTTATATTTTTTCATATAAATCAGACTTAATTAATGGAAATGAAAACTTTATCGTAACCATTGATAAAATTGACCAAGTCTACGGTTGTTTGTTGAAAAAAAAAGTACATAGTTTTAATTATTTAATTATTTTGGTAAACAAATAATTTAAAGCATATGTCCAACCTGTTTAGAAGATTGGCTTAACAGTTTTTCCTACTTTGTAGTATATTTTTCGCTTGCACTATTCGAGCTTTTAATTAGACGACGCACTTGGATGGGAGGTCAAAAATGAAGCTAAAGTATAAACTATCACGTACGAAAGACATAAACAAAAGTAAAACCAAAGTAAAACGAATGATAGCATCTCTTGAGAGTAGAGACGAATCAGAGATGGAATCTGACATAATACTTGTCTATATAATTTAAAGTAGTGATAGAATAACATGTAGTACTGTGTTGTGTGGTTGAGGTAGGGTTCTATTGGCGTGGAGAGACTCCACGTGGACTGTCGTTTTCGGTAGTGGTATAATAGATGGAGTGATCTTATTCGTCCAGCACTTGGTTGGGACCAAAATCTCGACGTTCCCATCACCATAGATAGATACGCTAACATATAGCATATATGGACTATGGTATTCAATATAAACGAACATATACATCAATTAGAATTGAACGAATGTATTAGACCATCTCTAATGCAAAGAACTTCTTATAGGTTTTTAGTATTATTTTAATTATAAATTTTGTAATTTTTAAGTTTAAATTTTTTTAAGAATCATTAAAATTATATAGTTCCAATGGTAAAACTTCACACTTAAGGTTCTTAAAAATAAAAAAAATATTTTCTTTTTTGTCAAGGAAGAGAGAGAAATGGGGAAATTTTCATAAAAAACAATAAGAATGAGACATATATGAGGTTCCTACCAATTCTAAAAACTCTCTTTGAAGAACCTCTTCTTAACATTTTATTTAGTTTTGAATTATTTTTTTAGTTTTTTGTGTAAGAACCCTATGTTAGAAGTCTCCATTAGAGCTGCTCTTAGATCAAGTCTAAGCATCAATAATGGTGAGCTTTAGAGGGTTTTTAAAGAAAAATAAAAAGGAAAAATAAAAAAATTAATAAGGTGGCAAAACTGAAAACCAAAGTCTAATTTTTGCACAGAGCCTGAAGAAGCGTCTCTCTGCTGATGTAGCGAGATATAATTTGTCAATTTTTTTTATTTAAAAAATCGATTTTCTTTTAATAATAAAGAATTTTTAAGAGTTTTTCTTTCTGATCTCTCTAATAAGTTTGCCTCCTCCCTCCCATCATACTGATGAAACCCAACACATAATTAGTTTAAGACTTAGGAGCTCACATTCTCACTATATGTGGGAAAATCAAGCTCACCCCCACGAAACGGACCATTTTATGGATTCTTCAAATCCGTTTCAAACAATTACCAAATGTTTGTTTTAAAATGGGTTTGTTTGCAATAACATAACGCGTCATCGTCCTTTGGATGAGTCTGTCAATGATAATAGTAAAAGTTTTTTGTATATACCAACATGTGAAGTAGTTAAATTTGTCTTTTCCTTCCAGTGTTGAGTATATTTCAAATAGTTACTGATCCGTAAATGAACAGATCGGAGATAATATTGTAACATGTATTGATGAATAACTTCCGAATGATACCGTTTTTGAATTACAATGAATTGAGAGTGTTTGTAATGATTGTTAATGAATGTTTTAAATATACTCAAGAACTTCAAAAATAAAGACACTGATTGAAAAAAAGAATCTAAAAATACTCCAAAATCTTTTCATAAAACATGTACGGCCTTGTGTCATTTATCTCATACTGTATTTAATTGGACTGTCAGTCATCTCTAGCACCGGGTTTCTATAACAAAACCCAAAAAGTGTCAAAGCTTTTACTTTTGAACTCAAAATACTTTGGGTCAGATATATATTAAGTTGGGCTTAATTGTAAACCAAATCAAAGCCCATCCATTTTGCTTTGTTTTCGGTCCAACCGAGTTCCTTGCTCGCACATATCTTCGGTAGAATTTTATAAAATTCCGTATTATCAAATCAAGCATAGGATAACTTTCACTAATGTTTATAAAAGAAGAAAAATATACACATGTGCAGATTTAGTATACGGTATGTTTTACAAGGAAAGGAGACATACATGTCGTTCGCTTTTTCCAACAACAAACTCCACACCGTTTTTCTTCTAGGCTTCCTCCAGCTAGTGAACTCACTCATGACTCACCAGCGTCTTCTAGAGAAGACAATAAGTTGATAAATCTACACGCAAACTCACATTTCACCAGTCAAACGATGTCACTAGCTGTATTAAAGAAGAAAGTCAACGATCACTGTCCAATAACGTCACAGGCTTTCCACCGTTAAGGATATAGCCACGTAGGACAACGTAAAGGAATTGCACGTTAATTCCGCGCAGACAAGATCATATTGGCCGTTGGATATGAATCTGGCGGCTTGTTTCTCAATCAATATGGTCCGTCCGATCATAGAATTAGAGGCAGGCTTTTGTCGGTGTTGAAGCTAAAGCCTTTCCTTGTTTTAAAATTATAAGAAAAAACTAATTTTTTTTTCTTTCTCTCTCTCTCTCTCCCCGAGTCTCCGACTTCGTTTTTGTCTCCAGCTTCCTCACACGAAAGCTCTGATATCTTAATTGGAAGGTTTTGCCTACGATTTGATCGCCGAGAGTTCCAGGGTTTGTTTCAGTCAATTCCAGGGTTTGTTGCTGAATCTTCTACTTCGTGGTTGTATCGATTGTTCGAGAATTCTGAAATTGGGGGCCGACTTTTATTCTAGGGTTTCGGTAAATCTTCCCTGTTTCTGGAAGAAATCTCTCCGTTTGATTACTTCTTTCCTTTGCGAGCTCGCATCTGAGGCTGTTATTTCAAGCTCCGTCTCGTCTGATTTGAAGTTGATTTCCGAGGAGGTTGAAATTTGGCTCACGAAGACCTGCGACGATTCAGCTCATAGGAGATACAAATGGTAAATTTAATCTATTTCGTTGTGGGTTTTCCCCAATTCGAATGATTAGTTGGAAAAATCATTGTTTCATTCGAATTGGCATCAGGCTAGGGCTCGAGCTTTGAGCTCCAAAAACTAGATAAAAAATGGAATTGGATTGCCAAGGGTTTCCATCTCACGGACATATTCCAGTTTTTTGTTTTGTTTTGTTTCGTTTGAGAATTTGAAGTATGTTTCTTTTGGACATGATTATGTCACATTGTTTAGATCTTGCTGTTTGTGTCCTAACGAGTTTCTTGCCCCCCCTGTTGAAATTTTGCCAAAACGTACTTATCTGTTGGAATGCGTATAGGAATCGTCAGTTTCTGCTGATTAAGTGGATAGATATATTAATATATAATGTTATATGCAGGTCTGTTGCAAATAGTGAATTGTAGAAGCTGAGTGAGGGTTATATTTCTGAAAAGTTCTTGTCAAAAACAATGGTTGAAAGTGCTGCGTTCCCAGGAGGTTATTACCAGAACTCTTTCGAAGCTCCTGATGAATCAGAGGGCTCTGGAAGCTCCGCACAGATCGACACCGAGGTCACGGCATCTGAGAACTCGAGCACCCCTGCACGAAAGTGTATTAGGTTGAATTCTAATGATGAAGAAGACCCTTATGGTGTCCAGAGACAAGTCATCTCCTTGTATAACATGTCACAGTCGGAGAGGAAAGATTTGATCCATCGGCTCAAAGTGGAACTGGAGCAGACTAAGATTGTTCTTAAGAATGCTGAGTTTCAGAGATTGAACACAGCCTCCGTGTCGTCTACTAGTGATAGGGTCGGTTTCACCACCGCAGCTCAGAAGCTACCATCTCGGGTCAGCAACCTGAAGAAGCCATCTGATTTTGCGACGGGACCGGGAAAGAAAGTTCGGCAACAGACTGGGACTTCCCGTGGATGGAACCGTGGCTCCTCGGGGAAGTTTGAGTCATCGAAAGAGCCTGTGGCGAGCGCTCCTAACGTGACGCTGATGAAGCAATGTGACACGCTGCTGAAAAAGCTATGGTCCCATCCGCATGCTTGGGTTTTTCAGGCGCCTGTTGATGTTGTGAAACTGAACATACCTGACTATCTCACCATCATCAAGCATCCCATGGACTTGGGGACGGTAAAGAAGAACTTGGCGTCTGGTGCATACTTAAGCCCACATGAGTTTGCTGCTGATGTGAGGCTTACGTTTACCAACGCAATGACATATAACCCTCCAGGGCATGATGTTCACGTTATGGGGGACATGCTTAGTAAGTTATTCGAAGCGCGGTGGAAAGCGATCGAGAAGAAATTACCAGCGTGTAGCATGCAAACTTTGCCTGCACTTTCGTTGGAACCTAGCGCCGAAAGGAAATCTGCTATATCTGTTCCTCCGGCGAAGAAGAGAAAGATTGTTTCCCCCGTTAGAGAGATTGTTCCGGAACCCGTGAAGCCGCTTATGACGGCAGAGGAGAGGCATAGACTAGGGAGACAGCTGGAGTCGCTGCTGGAGGAGCTTCCTCCACAGATCATCGACTTTTTGAAGAAACACAGCTCAAATGGAGGAGAAATCGCGGAAGACGAGATCGAGATAGATATTGATGTTCTCAGTGATGAAGTACTGTTCGCTCTTCGAAAACTTTTAGAGGAATACATTCGAGATAAAGAAGCGAAGCAGTCGAATGTTGAACCATGCGAGATAGAGGTAATTGTCATCTCACCTGCTGTGATAAATTTTCATAAGACACTTTCTTAGAAACGCCTTTCTTTTGTTGCAGCTTGTTAACGGATCAGGACCGAGCAATTCGTCGCTGCATCGAGGTGAAACTCAGATTCTGTTTGCAAATTATGTTCTGGGTTTTATACTGGTCAGTGGCCTCTGTGTCTAGCAATTTTCTTACCTTTGCTGTGCTTCTGTGTTCCTTTTCTAGGAAATGAAATGGCTGATGAGTATGTCGGTGGGAACGAACCTCCTATCTCAAGAAGCTCTAGTGGTTAGTTGCAATCCATATAAACTCCTCAACACCTTCAGTAACATTTTCTTGATTTAGGTTCTCTATTTATGTTATAATATATCACTGACTCTTGTTTATATCAGAGCTTTTATATATGACCTTCCCTTCTATGTTAATATCATGATATTTGTATCGTTTTTGTTTCACCATATAATTATTTACTTGCCAATATATCTTTCCTGTCTCTATCAAGTTCCATGTTTTTTTATTAGATCTCATTAAATTCTCTGGTGGTTGACACTTTGTTAAAATTGATTCTGGCAATTTCATTGAAGAGCAGTAGTATAGAAATCTATAGGATAGTTACTGTAACAGATTATGTGTGTTACTGAATAGGGTGTTGCTTTTCAGATTCTGAGTCTAGTAGCTCTGAAGATCTATCTGATGACGCTAAACCCATGATTCAAGACGATTCTTCCAAGGTTCTAATCTACGATGTCAGCTTTTCAAGGCGTGTAATTTGTTATAATTTATGGATCTTAACCACGCAGTTGATATCTTTCCAGGTGCCTGAAACTGCAAATTCTGAGGCGCAAAGAGATGGAGATACGAGGATTGACGATTTTTGCGAAGGAACTCGTGAGTACTTAAAAAAATCTGTTGAATTTATAAGCTTGTTGTTCATTACTGTCAATGAATTTTGTTATGGATATACATATATTTACTGTTTGTACCTCTGGTGTATTTTTTATTACAGAATCTACTGGTGCGGTGGAGCAGATGGATATTTGTTCCCAGCAAAAGCCTAGTTCTGATGAAGCAGATGGTCAACATGATGGTGAGATGCAGAGAAAACAAAAGAGTTTTTCTCTGCTTGAGTCATGAAGTGAGTATCTCATAGTTTATCCAACTTAATGCTTCAGGAAATACATTAGAGACTCCAGCTACATCTGAGAAGCGCTATAGAGCCGCGCTGTTGAAGAACCGGTTCGCAGATATCATTCTAAAAGCACGCGAGAAAACACTTCCACAGGTCTGTTGTACTTATATACTCTGCAGCAGTCTACACTTATCCTCTAAGCATTCCTTTTGATCGTGGGAATTAACATTGGCTTTACATTTGATCTCGCGTGAGAGCAGAACAGTAGCAAAGGAGACCCTGAAAGGCTGCGTAAGGAAAGAGAAGAACTCGAACTGCAGAAGAAGAAAGGTTGTTTCTATACTCAATTTATTACACTTTTTGGTCTCTAAAACATCTTTCTTGTTTTATGTTCTTCTAACTGGAAACCATTGTTACCAGAGAGAGCGCGGCTACAAGCTGAGGCAGAGGCTGCTGAAGTAGCTCGTCGCCAAGCTGAAGCAGAGGCTGCTGCAGAAGCTGCTGCTGAGTCTAAGCGGAAGAGAGAACTTGAAAGAGAAGCCGCTCGCCAAGCTTTACTGAAGGTAAAATAGCAAACACGTGACTTTGCATTACAGAATCACAAACAACACTCGATAATGAAGCACTTGCTCACCACATGTTTTGACTTCGGTGCAGATGGAGAAAACGGTAGAGATCAACGAGAACTCGCGGTTCCTCGAGGACCTAGAGATGCTGAGTTCGAGTGCGCCGGAGCAGTTACCTAGCTCAGCCGATGAAACCAGCCCCGAGAGACCTTTAGACGCCCTTGGAAGTTTCAACCTCAGAGGAAGCAACCCTCTTGAGCAACTCGGACTGTACATGAAACAAGACGACGATGAAGAAGAACCCGAGGCTCCCGCTGTTCCGAATCTAGCCACCGACGTGGAAGAAGGTGAAATCGATTGAAGAGAAGGGTGTGTATATAAAATTATATGTACAATGTATAAATGATTAGCCGGGGACACGTACGTACGTAACACACACAGAGAAACTAGAAACGAAGGTGCTTAACCTTTTAAGTGTGGTGTTTGAATTTGTAAAACACGAAACAAATGCTTACAAGCTTTTTGCGTAGAGACTTCTGCATCCTTGGTGTATAATATATATATTTATTTTTATAAGAAAAAAAGGAGTCAAAAACCATTGTTTGTGTAAGAATATCTTTACATTAGAATCTGACAGAGTCAAAAAAAATATATAGTTTTTCCCGAAAATTTCCAATAATGTTTTTAATATTTATGGAAGAAATAAAATTCGTGAATGAACCAAACCATTCATAAACCTTATTAAATTCACAGAATTTTGGAAAACGTCGTCGCTTTAGGTGTTTTTGCACACCAACCCTTTTAACCTCGATTCTCCAGACAAACCTCAACCATCTCTATCGTCTTCCTCTCTCTGTCTTATCATCCATCTCAATGTCTCCCCTATATATATGGACATGCGTTCGTGTAGACTTCAAAGCTCCGAGACATTCTCCAGTCAGCGATGGAGGGAATTACGAATTTCAAAGATCTACCATTGTTCTTCTCTATCTTCCTCTTCGTCTATCTTCTCGGTTACTTGTTCGTTTTCCGTAGATGGATCCCGGAGTCTCGTCCCTTAGCCTCCAGCTGCTTGATTTCCCTCCTCCACGGCGTCTCCGCCGTCTTCCTCGCCACGCGCGCCCTAATCTCCGATCCTAACCGCGGATTCTCATCCCACAACACCCAATCCCAAAACGCCGTTCTCGATTTCAGCTCCGCTTATTTCCTCGCCGATCTCATCCACCTCGCCGTTTTCCCTTCCCCCGCCGGAGGAGACGCACTCTTCGCCGCTCACCACGCCGCCGTGCTCTTCGTTTTCCTCACCTGCCGGTACCTCGTTGCTCACGGCGCCTGCGCCCTCCTCGCGCTCCTCATCGTCGCCGAGGCCACCAGCGCGTGCCAGAACTCGTGGACGCTCGCGGCCGCGCGTGGTCCTGATGCTCCTCTCGCGGTGAGTCTGCACCGTTTCGTGTCGCTGCCGTTTTATGCGTCATACAGCGTCTGCAGGTGCGTTCTCGCGCCTCTGCTTATCGTCAAGATGACGTGGTTTTACGTCACTGGAGGAGCTGATGACGTCATACCCAGATGGGTTTGGGTGTCGTGGACCGTCGTAATTATCGTTGCCGTTACCGTTAGTATCCTTTGGATTTGGAATTTATGGGTTCTGTTTTTTGAAGAAAGAAGATATTCTAAAATTGCAAAAAAGTTGAAATAAAAATATTCTGATTTGTTCACTATTTTTATTATTTTAGCGTAAAGTAGTATAGTTCAATTTAACATACAGTACACCGAAGTTTTATATTTCAAATGTTTATGATATTTGTTGGTGTTATTGAACCGGTCTTAAATTGAGATGAGAATGTTTGTACATATATAGAAAACTTAGTTTGACTTTCTCAAAATGAGATAATGATTTGATATTTAAGGACTGCTAATCAACACAACAATAACACTTAAATTTTTCCATGACTTGACACCTCAGCTTTTTGAAGTTTTATAAACATGACACATTCTCAAAAATAATCATCAATCAAAACATTTTATTAATACATCTCATCATCTACTTATTTAAATTTTTAAATTTAAATCTATTAAAAACCCAACTATTTTTTCTATTAATTTTTGTTTTGTTTTTTACCAAACTCAAGCCTAAATAATTAATAATTTTATTTTTTTTGCCAAATCTAAACCCAAATAATAAATAAAAACAAATAAAAAGTTAAATTATTGTTTTTTTTGTCAAAACCAAATCTAAATAATAAATAACAACAAATAAATAATAAAAAAAAATTCTAGCTATCAGTTTGTTTGACATAGACGTATATTGAGAAAATGTAGGCTCAACATCAACTATGCTTCCATGACAACAACACAAAAGCCATATGTTATAAGAAGCTCACACATCAGCAAAAATTTGAACCGATAAAAACATAGCAATTTCTTAGTTTTCGCGGAAAAACACAATTTCACGGGAGATAAAGCAATTTTTGGTTTTCGCAGAAAATTGAAGTTCATTTGTTTTTGTAGAAAAGCGTGATTCTGGGCTTGACGAGAAAATTTTGTTTTCGCGGGAATTTTTTTGGTTTTGGCGGGAATAGCCGATTTCTTAGTTTAATGGAAAAATAATTTTTTTTTTTGTTTTGACGGGTAATGCGGTTTCTTGATTTTTGTAAGAAGATGAAATTTCTCTGTGCTAAATTTTCAAGTTAAAGTATGTTTACAGTAACCAAAATTTAATTATTAAACTTTAACTAAAACTATATTTTAAGAGTTCAAACATAATTTTCTATTTAGTTCTAAAACAATAGCAATAGTTTTGATATGAATGCTATTGATTATAGTTTGGTAGTTTTAGAAACATATATTTATTATAAAATATTTTATAAATAAATAAATTTTATAATTCAAAATAGTCATATTAATCAATAAAAATCTTTTTTTCAATGATATTTTGCTTTATATAATTACAAAGAAAGATCATGTGGCAATTGATTGGAGAAAATAGATTACATTTGCCATTATCATAAATGTACTAAAAATATATTGCTTTATTTTTATATATTTTATTCCTAATATACATTTATAATTAGTTAGCTAACTAAATATAATAGTAAATTATAATTTTGAAAAATAAATAAATAAAAAAATATATAATATTTATATAGATTTAAAACATATAAATACATAACTTAAACTAATAAAAAAATAGAATATTCATTTACATTATAAAAATAATTTTATTATATTAAAAATATATACAAAAATTAAAAAAATATCTCGCAGCATGCGGGTAAATACCTAGTCTATATATATATAAATAGAGTTTTTCTCTCTTCTCATGCCCCCACATCAACTTTCACCTCAGCATCCAATATTTAATAACAAACACTATATAACTTAAATTTAAAATTTACTATTAAACTCAGTCCATTAAACTTAAATTCTATGCAATCAACAATATTTGACTAATAGCAAAAGCCCAAAATTACATCGAATAACATACTATAAATCTCTTATATAATTATAAACTTTATGATCAAATAAATTACAGCAATAATAACCTACAGAATAACATTCAGTTTATAAATCAGTTTTTGTTATGACGAATAAAATTAGAAAACAAGAAAAAGACAATTTTCTATCAAACTCAACTACAACAATTAAAAACAATAACCAAACACTGTTAACTGATGATAGGTATCACAATTGAGGTGGAGAAAACTTTGATAAATAATCTAATCTACCATAAATTTAACCAAAACAGACTCAAATATATATCAACGACCATAGTATGAAACTTTGAAATAAAAGTATCCACATCTCAAAATAAGTAGATAATTTAATAGAATAAATTAAATAAATTTAAGCAAATAACATTTGAAATCCGGGAACAAGAATCATCCTTCAAAACCGATGTCGCAAGTAGAACCACATCAAACAATAGACTTACAGCAATATTTGGTGAGAAAAGAGAGAAAGAAACAATACAATTACGCCTACCAAATATATAAAATTATTTTTCTTCACTTTTTATTTTGCCACTTAACCATCTATCTCATACTTATTTCACAACACAAACTATATAATTTAGAATCAAATTTCACTATTAAATTTAGTCCACAAAACCTAAAATCTCATAAGTGCATCTAACATTTGACGAATAGCACAAGCGCAACTTACACAAATTACAGTACCATATATGTAAAAGAGAAGAGGAAGAGTTCTTCTGAATCATGTAAAATGCAACAATCAAAACTATTTGACAACCTACAAAAATTACATGCAGTTTTTAAAATTAATTCAAAATTATGACAAAAAAAATTAGTAAAGAAAAAAAAAAAGATTTACAATCTAATCCAACTGCAAAAAATGAAAAAAAAAATTAATAACCAAATTTTCTTAACAAATCATGTGTACACTCAATTGAGGTCGGGAAAATATTAATAAATAATCTAACTAAACACAAATTTAACCAAAACACTTTAATATATATATATATATATATATATATATATATATATATATATATATATATATCAGCGTCCAAAGTATGGAATTTGTAAATACAAGTTTTTAAAACCTCAAAAAACAAACTAATAACAAAATAATGTAATAGTAGATTTATAATTTTAAATGAATAATATTTGCAAGCTGTGAGCAAGAAATTATCTATAAAAACAGATGCGTAATAAGAAAACCATCAAACAATAAGATCATAGTGACATTAGGTTAGAAAAAAGAAAAAGCAAATTAAAAATAATCAAGCTAATGTCAAACTAAAAGAAATGTAGATAGATTCTTAACACAAAAGTATATATAAAAACAAGATGAACATAATAATATATATATATATATATAAACTAGATGAAAAAAAAAATATATACACACAAACTAAACATATTAAGAATTTTTGTAAAAAAAAGAATATAATAATAAGCAAAATATATGAAATACAAATATTCTAAAAGTGATTGGTAAAACATTTATGATAGCAAAAAGTAATAATTTATTGAAGATCAAAACTTCAAGACTTACAACTTTTTAAGAATTAAAATAACAGATAAAAGAAATATAATTTATATTTAAGCAACACGAAACCCAAATAATGAAATCAAACAATAAATTACAACTAAAATTTAACAACAAATAAAATTTTGACGAGAAGCGCGAGTCAACCACTAGTTTCTTTAAAAGTTTTATATAGTCTACGTGGTTAAGGAAATGTCAAGCTGTTTTTAAAGTGGGGGTGGCTCAAGATATGACATAATCACAGTTTGTTTTATTATGGCAAACTAATAAATTCAAACAATCTACAAAATCCAATCGATCACTATTCTTTCAAGTTTAACATTGAGAAGAGAAAATTATCTCGAACGTTAA